ATCCCGTTGCCGGTCCCGGTCTGGTACGGGCGCGACACTGAGGGTTACGATCCGTTGCCGGTCACGAAAAAAGACAAAAAGGAAAAAAAAAAAAGTGAGAGCCCCAGTATTTGCTGAGATGTTACATCTGTGACCTCAAACTGAGAGTCTCTAACACTGAAGCCACACATCCTTAGTTAGAGAATTTCTCCTCATTTTAATACTCATCTCCATTCACGCTGCATATTGTAAGCTCTCTCCCTCCCTGTGATGGGTTGACGTGGGCAATCTACTCATTCAAGTTTAATAACACAATAGCTATCCGTGATTAAAAAATCAAAGTCATTTAAGTTGTTCTGTTATGAGAGTGACACTGAGGGGTATTATGGGGGAAAAAACCCCACAAAGCCATCTTTTTCTGATGATGGAAAATTTTAAATAGAAAGAAATGTGAAGGGGGAGTAGCTTTAATCACTTAATTTCTCTGCTAGCTGAAATTGAGATCTTAAAAATAGCAAGTTCTAAATCACGCAGCATTTTTAGACTTCCACTGAGGATACAGAAAGCTGCAAATAGTGTTGCTCCCGCCCTAACAAGAAACAGCTGGATGATAGGAAAAGTCTCAACATTTTTTTTTTTTTTTTTTTTTTTTTTTTCCTGTTTGAGACCGGCCGCACCGCACCGCGCTCAGCCAGTGAGCCCACCGGCCACTCCCTATATAGGATCCGAACCCGCGGGCGGGAGCGCCACTGTGCTCCCAGCGCTGCACTCTCCCGAGTGCGCCACGGGGTCGGCCCAAGTCTCAATATTTTTGAGCCTTTGGCGAGGTGAGGCTGCAAAGCCATCACGTGAACTGAATTCCCAAGAGGGATGCTCCGCTCCAAGGAGAGACGGGCACAGGACCTGTCTTCCCTTTGGCAAAGCTCGGGAGAAAGGAGGCTGCTACATAAGCTAAGATTTTACCACTTTTAAAGGCCAAGCATGGGCCACTGCATCAGTTTGGGACAAAACTGGGTATTTAATTTGTGGGCTTTTGTGCAAAATGAAAATGTGGGAGCCCTTGCTCAAAAGCGAAGGCTTTCTAGAGGGCAACAGCGGAGCAGTAAACCAGGCTCCTGCTGAGTGCGCGGCCTGCACAGGGCCCAGGCGGTGAAGCAGTCCCGGCTGGGGCCCCAGGCACAAAGGGAGTCCCCACCCAGGAGAACGCTGTTCTCCATCTGCTATCACCAGGCGTTGGGGAGGAGCGAGACAGGCCAGAGACCAGAGAAGGCCGACCTTGGGCTAGCAAGGGGGTGGGCGATCGGGGGCTGGGGGGGAACAAGCGCAAAGCTCCACGAGCCTCCCTGGACCCTCCTCTCAGACAAAGTCAAGCCTTCAGCTGCTGGGGAAGGTGCGGGAGGACTGTGGCCCCCAGGGCCCTGGCAAAGATCAGACGTCTCCGGAGGGCTGGAAGCGAAGCCCATCTGCTTCTCCCAGGGCCAGGCATGGACTTAGTGCTGCCGGGAGAAGGTAGAAGCAAAAGTTCCCTACCCCTGGGGAGGGGCAGATACAGACACCGGACAGACGCCTGCGACTGCTGGGAGTGGGACAGGAGACTCCCACCCTGTGCCAACCACACACACAAGGCAGAGTTTGGCTGCCACAAGGAGGAGCAGCAGGAATGCTGAGAAAACCTCACCTTGGAAGCAGAAGCAGAGAGGGCCAGCCGAGGATGGAGGCTGAACGGGGACCTCGCCTGCTCCCGCCATGGGCCTGGCCCTGAGCAGCAGCACAGTCTGCAGTGGGGAAGCGGGAGAGCGTGGAGGAAGACCCCTCTTCTGACACAGCTGTGCAGGCAAAGCTGGAAGCTGAAAGGGAGCGGGAACCCCCGAGAAAACCTAGCACTCCCAGCCCTTCCCTAAGCACAAGCCCTTCCCCGACCAGGCTGCCATTCGTGGGCTCAGGCCTGTGGGCTCTGATTCTATGGGGAATGACAGAATTCTACACCTACCAAAAGTGTGTGTGTGTGTGTGTGTGTGTGGCCAGTACAGGGATCCAAATCCCCTTGACCTTGGTGTTGTTAACATCAGCTCCCCTCATAAAACCATACAGAAGAAGGGCTGGCCAGTTAACCCAGTCGGTCAGAGCTCGGCGTTATAACACCAAGGTCAAGGGAAAAAACATCAACAAAAACACACACAAAAGCTGGAGGAATTACGTGCAGACCTGCAGTAGGAGAACTGTAAAGTCCTCAGGCAGCAGAAAAATGATACCAGACGAAAATAGGATTCCGCACAGAGGAATGAAGACCACTGGAATAGGCCACATTTACTTGAGTGATACATAAAAGTTTTTTCTTATTTAAATCCCCCTAATTGATAATTTACTGTTGAAACAAAAGCAGTAGCAATGTGCAGGGTTTATAACACATGCAAAACCAGAATGTATGACAACAGTAGGGCAAAGCTAGGGAAGTTCTTACACTGTGCAGCAAGTGGTGCAATGTCACGTGAAGAGGACTGTAGTGAGCTAAAGATGTCACGAGTCCTACAGCAGCCACTAAGGTGACACAACAAAGAGGTATAGCTAGTAAGTCACAAAGCAGATGAATGGAATAAAAAATATCCAATTAACCCAAAAGAAAAAGAGGAAAGAAACGGGACAAATAAAAAACAAACAGGATGGTAGATTTAAACCTAACCACACCAATAATCACATTCAATGTAAATGGTCTAAATAGTCC